GACATTTATGCAAGGAACGATCGACCATGATGGCAATTTGAGCGGACGCTTCAACCGACAATGGTCGCCGACGCACACCACCAAAGGCCAAATGCAGGTTCGTCCACCACTCCAAATCTCCATTATTCAACCAACCTAACATATTCCTCCCTCCAGCTCGGCAGCTCAGCCGACCGCAGCGTCCTCCAACTCGAGCACGAAAACTCGGGAGTAGACTACGTCCTCAGCGCAAAAGCCATCAACCCCTCCCCCATCGACGGCTCGGGCGTCTACGTAGGCAGCCTCCTCCAATCCATAACGAAACGTCTCGCCCTCGGCGTCGAAACATACTACCAACGCGCGCCAGACGGCGGTGACCTCGCAGCCACCTACTCTTTCAAATACACCGGTGGACCTACCACCCCCGAAATCATAAAAGAGGGCTCGATGGCGGGTCCTCCAGGTTCGATGGTCGCTCCGTCTGATCAGTGGATCGCGACGTGCCAGTTTCAAGCGATTGGCTTGCTCCAGGCGTCGTATTGGCATAAATTGAGTCCGCAGGTGGAGGTGGCTGCTGATTTGCAGGTTATTGCGGCTCCTATGAAGCGGGATGCGGTCGCGACTGTAGGGGCCAAATGGGATTTGAGGATGGCGAGCTTTAGGGCGCAGTTTGATTCGACGGGGAAGGTTAGCGCGATGCTGGAACAACGATTTGCTCCCAACTTTTCGTTTCTCATGACGGGAGAGATTGACCACTTTAAGGTATGAGTTCTCGTTAGTCTGGTGCAAAGTGCTGATGGACCTCCTGTAGAACGCTGCTAAAGTCGGTGTTGGTATCATGATCGAGTCGAGCTCATCACCAGAAGAGATGGGACTTTCACCACAACTATAGGCCTGACGTAAAACTACAAGGCTACGACACACCCTCTGCACCACCACCACCATCCTAGACCTGGTGCAACCGCGTGCACATAGCCTATTCGACACCGGAGAGGTGGACATATCGCTCTCTATTTTTTTACTATTCTTTTTGTGGCGACGATTGCATCCAACAACACATTTCACGATCGACTCTAATTCGCAGCAACATCATCACACAACCCTCTCACACTATAAACCTACCTCCCCTTCCATATACGCACACGTTAACGCATAAGCAAGTACATGTACGCTTGCCTTACCTCGCTTGCAGGCTTTCTTACCCCCTTCTTCGTATTACTCTACCCGCACCCTACTTTTATCTCTCGGTCGCTCGCTTGTGTATTTACTTGTGTCGCGTTATTCATGAAAAAAAAATTCCCCATTTCCTGCAGGAGTCAGTGGTGTCGTATGGCGTCGAATCCGATGAGCGAGGTGAAGCGTAGATATGTGCTCCTTTGAATGACATTCAGAATGGTAGCAAACCTCTACTCAATTGTGGCCTAGCAAACATTCGATGTAAACGGTAGCACAACTGAATATCAGGAGGTTCGATTAACAACATATCATAAGAGGCGTTATGGACCATAGATGGCCCGCCATTTCGCTCCACTCCCCCTCAAGAAATATTGTTCTCTAGCTCAGGCACATGGGTGAGCGCGTCTTCCTATCATGTTCAGTTCTTTATGTTACTAGAAATTAAGATATAAGATATACATTATATTCGTCGCGAATTTTGTCTTCCCTGATGTTCTCCTTCTGCGTGGCCTGCAGTGGAGACCCTTTCTGGCTTGTGTACTGACACCTCGTAGATAAAGAACCTATCTATCTGGACATCAAGGACAATGTCATCGACATTAATTCATCGATACCTTCACTAGATGACTTATTCTGGAAGTACATGCATGCTCGCAAGCTTTATGCTCTATCTCACGATCAATACGAGAAGGAGTGGTCCTCATGGCTAAACATCTACCTCTTTGGTGACAATTATACTGTAGGCAGGCCTTCCGAACCTGACCCCGTCGGCACTGCATCCCCTGTCCGCTCGACCTCCCGGCAGCCATCCAATACCGAACTTCATTCTCCCTCGACCTCTCTCAGGCATCAAAACCATACCTCCTACCAATGCTCCATTTGCCAGAGAGAGTACCCTCGAGTCGCCGGAGCAAAGGGGTGCGAGAACCGGCACCTTCAAATCAAGCCGTACGTTTGTACTGGAAAATGTGGTGATAAGAACTGGTGCGTCATTCTTGACCGTGCCTACTAATGCAACGTTGATAGAAGCGAGGTAGTATGAGAACGTTCGCAGCAGCAAAGGAATGACATAGGCACGATTGTCCTCCAGATGCAAAGATGTTTCGTTGTGATTCATGGTAGGTCCTGGATGCGACGGTGTATACGGCCCAGTGCGCTGACATGGCTTTCTTTTATCTGTATTTGTTTAGCGGGAAACGCATTTCAAAGCAGAACCGTGCGGATCATATCAAGAAGCATTGCAGAGCCGCGCGTCCCTGAAGATATCACTAAAGAAGAGAACCTGTAGACTGGAAGTTTGGTTGACGATACTTTGACTATGCCAGCTGTATAATTCTTTATGTACATACTTTGTCCATTCACCTGGTTTCAGGGCCACTGCCTGTGCGGAGCGATGGAAGAATTAAGCACCCAGACATTTGTATTTGATAAGCCGAATATCCCAAAGTACGAGTCGGTATTCGACTCGATATGAGTATGACTCTCTCTCATAGGAGTTCTGAAAAAGGAAAGATTGTACCGAAGCTCCCCGTGTCTACGTGCCCCCGTCACAAAGCAATAGTGTTAGCCAGTTTTTACCCCAGTCTCATTCAGAAACCCAATTTGTATATATAATCGTAACTTTTTTCATAGTGGTACGTATAAAAATTCTATTGCGTGGCGTGCAACCTGAATTAATTCGCACAAAGTGGGTGGCACGGTTGAGCGGGGCGATTCGCGCGAGCATTCTGACTGTGTCGGAGATTTCCACTCATGTCAAGAGACTAAGTTCTGATACCCTCGGCGGCTTGCACATGAGAGACTTGCGTGTTCGGGTTCATGCGCATGCAATACGGTCCCCAAGTGGGAGGTGAATACCCTCGTGACCTAGTCGAATATCAAGAAATGGCTAAGCCATAAGAGATGGGGTTAGATCTCACCGCGGTTGGGAGTGGGGATGGCTTGGAACACGGAGGCCGTGGATAAGAGAGCATTTGAATTGTCGGTACACACGTACAGACTTGTATTGTCTCGTCATACTAATGTACGTTGATACCAGGGATGAATTCGATCATGGAGGCGTCGGTCATGTGTCATCCTGCAGAGTCTAGTTCTGTTTTAAAGACCAGCAATGCCCAGAGCAATCGTGTTTTGTATCGGAACCATGAGAAATGACCACTGGTCGATGAGTTCGGTAAAGGTAATAGAATCTGTGCCAACCATTCTTGACATACAATTGATTTGTATCTTTGTTCGCGCGTTATCCCGCGTATGCTGCCCGATAGGAGCTACAACCAGAGCATAAAAAAATAAAAAAATAGGAAATATCGAATAAATTGATCAGGATAATACGTGGGAATAATTGACAAACAACGTTTTTCCCGCTTTACCGAAGTTGGGCAATGCCCCGTCGCCCTTCTGGCAAGTGAACCCAACTTGGGCTTCACGCTTATAATTGAATGTAAGGAGGTACAATTGACTTCAGTCCATAAAATGAGCCTTCAAGTATGCATCTGAGTGGTAGAACCTGTCCTGACAGAAAAACAATGCACCGACGAGAGCAGCCAGGTGAGCCACAATTAAAGAGAATTATTTTATATATGTCTAAATAATGGAACATACTGATTCATATATGGGAATACTCTGTTTCATCATCGGCATGGTCCTCCCTCGTCATTGGCTAAATCCCAATCACGACTACTTATTGTCTAGTTGACCCCAGACGTGAAGAGCCTACTGAAATATCCACATACGAGAATAATGAGGGACATATGTCACCCATACCGGGGCTGGACGACTTGTTTTGGGAGCATATGTACAGTGTTGAGCGATATGCACTATCCCAAGAAGAGTACGAAGCGGAATTCTCGGCTTGGTTAAGGTCCTACCTTTTTTCAGACAGTATTACGACCGAAATTGCGACCGAAGTGCCCATATCTTACGTCACTCATGCCGAGGCAGAGGATCCGCCCCATTTACCAGATAGTCACTTGTTCAATCCGGCATCTCCGCCTATTATGACAAATATCGAGCACAATACCAAATCTCATCTCTGTAAAATCTGTTCTAAGGCATTCCATCGAGTGACTGGCGCCAAAGGGTGCGAGAATAGGCATCGCCGGGTCAAGCCATATGCATGTACGAAGAAATGTGGGGATAAAAACTGGTACGGCAGAGTGTCACTTTTAACTAGAACTGACACGGATGACACAGCACGAGGACATTTGCAGCGGCCAAGGAATGGCGCAGACACGATTGTCCGCTGGAAACAAAGACGTTCCGTTGTGAGTCTTGGTAGGTCACCTGCATACCAATTCATACGACTTGTAACGCTGATTCAACTTCTTGTCTATATCCCTATAGCGGGAAGCTTATTTTAAAGCAGAACCGCGCTGGCCATCTTAAGAAGTACTGTAGAGCGCAACCCTTGCAGAACCATGTTCCCCTCCACATCTTTTGCAATTGAGATGGCTAAATAATGACAGAGGATGCTCTATTCATTCAGGACCTTTGAACCTTGGCTAATAGTTGACTACCTCTAGTCCGATTTATTTGTTTCCATTACATCCGCCTGATCCTTTAATACAGAAAAGTAATTTACTCATTATCATCGTGTTGTGAAACCTTGTTCTTGTATCACGACAAAGGCACGACTGCCGCGTGTTCATGGAGCCGGTCCTCCCGCCAGGATATATGGGATTTCGCCTGGGGGTGACCATGACAAATCGACCAACGTAAAGGAATCAAAAGTGTCGTGACCGGGCGTCATACCCAAGACTGCCCATACTCTAGTGGGTGCTCTCCCGCTGAGCTTCTACGGCTCTTGTCGACGGGTGCGGATTCAACTCTGACACAATGTGGATAGTGAATAGACGTTACTCGATGTTTTGCTACGTACAAATTCATGGTTCAAATAGCAGACGCAGTCTGCGATTCTCTTGATTGAAAGATACTATAGAATTTGAACTAGCTACCAGAATACAGATTTCGCGACTAGATGAAGAGTAGAGTCGCGCTACAGCGCTTAAATCGCCAGCTGATAGAAAAATTGAGCACAGAAAATGCGAATCACGACAGGC